TTGAAAAACTTACTTCAACAACATCGCTATAAATACATTTATAAACAGTAAATGAGGAACAAAACACGGTTAGCTGTAAACTGTTGTAGAAATTTTGCCCTTTGTATGCCGTCGTGTTTCATTATTTCTTTTTGTTTTAGTTTCGTGTTTTACCGTTCCTTTGTCTATTGGATGGTAACAACAACGTAAAGTATGTACAAACAAAATTGTACATAAATTTTTCACTGCTTTGTTCATCGTTAGTGTCTTGGTTTACGCCTAGCCAATATTTCTTTCTCTTGATGATGGTCAAGCAAGTAGCCATGTAGTTATATAGTCATGAAGCAGTATCATGTGGCCTACATAAATTTACGTCATGCGGATATATTGTTTCAATACATTATGCTCCATGTCCGGTTGATGAGGCTGTCGCCGTTACCGTAAAAATTTGCACAGCCTCACCTAATCATTTCAAAGTCAAGTTACATGTTTAAAATGTGCAATGTAAACCTTACCTCAATATTACAAATATTAGCACAATGGTAAGAGTTCATTTTGCTAGCTTTACACCGTAAAATAAAATAAATAGTAAATCATTTGGCAGTCTACACAAGATGCAGCAACCTAGCACTTGTCTATATTTCTAGCACAAATTTTCGGCGATTGATAAGCGTCCACAAAATAGCACAGTGTACTTATATATTTGCAGCAAATTCCGGTGGTAACACATCTGAATTCTCAAGTGTAGTGGGATTAGAATGTGTACGTTAACTCACTTGAACGTGGTTTTTCTTTCGCCTCAGGTCACCGCACAATCGTAAATCCATTGTACATGTTTCTTTTAAAGATGGATAAATTAAGCTTATTATTATTGTTATTAATCGCCTAGTAATAGCACTCGTGTATGACTTCAGTAATTGCATTTGGATCGTTTCCGACCGTTTTGCATACTTTTCTGATCACACGGACAATGCCGTGTCCGGTGAGTCTCATCCTAGGAATTTAGATCAAAAAAGCTAAAACTCTATTCTTCACGACGGCCAGCGATATTCCGCTAGCTTGGTTAACATCTGTGTAGTACTTGACGTCAGAAACATATATGAAGAAACATGGAATATGCGACTGATATGATATGGTCACTTCGAGTATTCAATTCGTTTAGTGTCACGAGGTACTCATTTGATTTCAAATTCTTATGAAAATGAAGCTCGATGATTGTTTGCCAGACCGAAAATAGGAAAAACGGGCTAAAATTGGTACGATGATGTCATACATTCAGTTGTTTTGAGAAACTTGGGCACAGTTCGCGCATTTTCGGGCTGCCACATAGCGGTGATGACTTTACGGAAAGAAAACGTTATTTGTTTCATAACCTGCGCATGCATGCGCACAACCCGTTCACGTGACTAACGAGCGCACTTTAACTCTAGTTTCCCTGAACGTTTTGTTTCAGGCAGTTTTGTGTAATGCTTGCTTAAAGTTTTGTTATGTTAGCATACACAGGACTCTTCCCAAGATCTAGATCGAGTTCACGTGATAGCTCTTTGGCTCCGGAGATAAAGAAATGATAATATATGATGTAATCAGGTCCCTGCACCGCATGGATTACTCACTCACCAATGAACAGCTATCTCTAAGCACTTGTGACAAAATGTTCTTACCAATTCTTTAAAAAGGTTTCGACTCATCACAAGTACCAATGATTTTTTTTTAAAATAAAAGGGTCTTTAAGGGAGGGAACAATTAACAATGTTTTGTTCCAATGCGTCTCACCGTCCACCAAAAGTAAAAAGCAGAGTGACAGACTGATCTGAGTTTGAAGGAAAATTATTTAAAAT